TTAGATGGAAAATGTGACAAATAGTTAAATCTGATCTTTAATTGAATTCCTTTTACGGTTGCTCCTTCTATGGATCTCTGTCTACACTCCTTGGATTGATATCTCAAACATTGTTCTGTCTTACATTCACACGATTGTGCAATATAGATTTAACTGTTGTTCAAGAAGAAATCAAGGGGCCATCTAATGATTTCTTTTTTCCCTTCCCATTCCTGCTGGCTATCTCATGGATACATTTGGTAGAGTCCCAAGAACATTATTGCCAGGTGTCCGAAGTTCCCGTCTAAGAGACCGCCAGAAAGAAGAAAGAGAATTGTTAGTAAAAAGATCTTTTATAGAAGATATGCTGCAAGAAAACAATCTGCTATCCATTCTACTTGGAAAGCAATCAACTTATCATGCTGTTTTATGGAATGCTGATTTACTCCCAGATTCAAGCAAGGATTCTCAGTTGCCTGACTTGACTTCTACAACTGGAAGCTTTATGGCAGACAACATGTCAAATTTGTTTTCTGCAGATAAGAGCAACCACAGTTGTCTCTTTGATGAAATGAGCTTGTATTTGGAGAATCTGACTGATTTTTATATGGGTGATGACAGTCTTCCATGTCACTTCCAAACTGATTCAGGAGCATTGGCTTGTGTGGGTTGTGGAATTCTTGGTTTTCCATTCATGACCGTGGTACAACCATCGGAGAGATCAGCAATGGAACTTTTGCCGGTCTCAGGTAATAATGGTCTTTATCTTGTCATTTTGTCTTTTTTCTTTATAGCATTTTTATATGTAGTTCCTTTTATGGGTTGTTTTTTTTTGGGTCTCACATGGCAAATTGAGCATGACAGTCATCATGAACTAAGAAGACATTATTTGATCAAGAGGGTGGTGGAGCTCTTTCAAATGACCAAAAGCCTTGTTTTTGACCTTCCTGTGCAAATCGTTGGATATTATTTGATTAATGATAACTGATTGTTATATACAGTTTGGCTCCTGTATTCGGCGACCTAAATAACTTTAACCCAAATATTGTGTTAGATGGTTATAAAACTACTATGTTCACTCTTGCTCATTATTCTTTCTAGTTGTTTTCCCTGTCGTAGAATTTAATGAAGCTGAGAGACCAAGATTTTCCAAATTAATAAACACATTTTATTACTGTTCATGTTGAGATGCTGAAGGTTTTGATCTCAGCATAAAATTTGAATCCCCTTTTATTGTCATATCTTCATATGATTGAAGCTATTTGTACATTGTCAAGAAGATGGTCCTTAGAAATGTTGAAATGCAAAACTGTATTATTTGTTCTGCAGGGAATGCTCTCTCTGTTATTGATCTAACTTTAACGAATGAACCATCAAAACTATCATTAATGAACTGTGACAAGGGTTGGAACACCTCTTGTAAATTTTTGAGGCCACGAATTTTCTGCCTGGAGCATGCTGCTCAGATTATTGAGATGCTGCAGTGTAAAGGTGGAGCTAGCGTGCTTGTCATTTGCCATTCAGGTTTGTGTACCCAGTTTCCATTGGCTTTTATCATAATTTATCTCTATCTGCCCAGTTGCATGTGGCCCCTTCTTATATCACCATCAGGGCCAGGTTTATGGCTTTTAGACAGAAGAGATCCATTTTTGCAGCATTAATGTGACTAGGAAAGGCCCAGCAAGGTTGCCAAAATCAGCTGGCACGGTCTGAATTGATGAAAACAAGAAGGAAAAAAAAAAATGTAGATTGCAGATTTTGCTTTGTCATTTTTTTCCTGATTAGTCTTCTGCATTTTTTTTCCAGACTACCAGAAAATAAAGGCACATGCCAGGGCAGTAGCAGAGGAGATAGGCTGCTCTTTTGATTATAATGAAGTTCCGTTAGATACTGCATCCCCTGAAGATTTGACTTTGATAGATCTTGCAATTGACAGTGAAGAACACGATGAATGTGAAGAAGACTGGACAGCTAAACTAGGAATTAACCTGCGGTATTGTGTCAATGCAAGAAAGAACTCTCCATATAAACAAGCTCCTTTCAAATTGGCACTAGGAATGCTGTTCCCTGAGAAATTTCCTGATTCAGATGTCTTATCTGTAAATTGGCAATCAAAGAGATTTCGCTCCAGAAGATTGAAGTATTTAGCTCAGGCAAAAGCATGTGATGAGATTCAGAGAAAGGAGGATGATCAGTTGGAAGTAAAGACAGATGGCTCCACTGCTAAAAAGATGCTTCAATATTCAAGGAGAAAGTTCAGGTCAAAGCAAGGTTGTTTCCCTGGATCAAACATGGTCCATGCACCTCATAAAGAGTCCATAAATATGCCAGCTTTCTTGAGTGGAGATTCTGGTAACCAGGTTTCTGAAAATGAGCCTGGCACCGAGAATTCTAGGAGTGATTGTCCATTGTCATGTGTCTTGCAACCTGAAAACCATCTTACTGAAATGACCACTAGTCTGAGTTTGAAAGCTGCTTCTTCACGACCTTCAAATTTCAATCTGGAACCTATGTCGGTGGATGAAAATACTGGACCAGAGGTCCATAATCAAACTACAGAGGAATTGATAATAGATGGCAAAAGTAGTTGCACAACACCTGATCATTCTAAGGTGCCCTGCAAGATGGGCTCCTCAGAAATCGGTAGTAAGGACCATGAGATTTCTGATGACAAGATAAATTCTAGCTCACTTACTGTTGCTAAAGACAAAAACATTGACATGCGAACTGAGGACCTTGTCACAGAAGCAATTAACACCAGTTATAGCAATAGCCTGTATGTCTGTGAAGTACATCAAGAATTTGATTCTACCGACAAGAGTAACAAGGTGGAAGCTACTTCATCTCCTGTTTCATCAGTAACCGAGCAGACACAGGTCATCGTGGAAGAAAATTCTGATAGTGCTAGAAAGAATCATAGCACTGAAAGCATGAGCTTTGGTGCATCCTTGAAAGAGACAGTGGAAACTTCTAATTTGAATGCAAGCAACAAAGAACTTACTGTAAATTGTGATAAATCAATAAATGAGCAGACTTCTAACATTGATGCTCATGAAGTTCCAAAAGAGCTTTGTGCCCCTGCAGACTCCAGCCCTCAGTTTATTTCAGATGTGAGAAAAGAACTGGAAATCCAGCCAAGCAGCATGAATGATGAGGAAATCTGCTCTGGTACTGGTGCCCACCCATCATTAAAGGACTCTTCTGTGTCAATCCAGGAGTGTTCTGCAAGTGAGGGAGAGAAATGTGCCAAAGACAACTTAAATGAAAGCAAAGTTCATTTTTCACAGGGCTATAGGGAGCTTACAAGCTCTGAAAGTACGCCAGGTCTTTGGTCAAATACCCAAAAGAAAAGAAACAGGGAATTGGAACAGATACAAGAGGACAATATAAACTTCCATGGCTTTGTCAGAAGTCCATGTGAAGGGTTGAGACCGAGGGCTAGTAAGGTAGCTTCTTGTGGAAGCATGGCTGAAACTAGCAATTCTATGGGGGAAAATCCAGAGTTTAAAAGGGCTAGGAAATCATCAGATGTTGTGGTGTCTAGCAAGAATAAGGGTTCTGTTAAGAGGTCTCACAAGTGTGACCTTGATGGTTGCCATATGAGTTTCGCAACCAAGGCAGAGTTAATGTTACACAAGCGCAACCGCTGCCCTCATGATGGGTGTGGAAAGAAGTTCAGATCGCACAAATATGCTGTGCTTCACCAGCGTGTCCATGATGATGATAGGCCCCTCAAGTGCCCATGGGAAGGTTGCTCAATGTCATTCAAGTGGGCATGGGCCAGGACCGAGCATATACGGGTGCATACTGGGGAAAAGCCATACCACTGCAAGGTTGAGGGGTGTGGCCTTTCTTTCAGATTTGTATCTGATTTCAGTAGGCACAGGCGGAAAACTGGGCACTATGTAAAGTCACTCAATTGAGATAAGACATTCATGTGTCATTAAACTGTTTTGTATCAATATGCACATACGCAGCTAGTCTCAGGACGTCATGTCTGACCTGATATCTTCTGGTTAGGTGTAAAGTTAGGAATAGAATGGTTTTGTAGGTTATTATAATCCAATGTATCTGAAGGTGGTGGAAGTGTAATTCAGAGAAATTTTGATCTTTCTGGATTATTAGACAGCAGATTTAGTAGCAGCGGCAGCATCAAGCTCTTGGCAAGGGTGGAAGTCATATTGTTGGTTGGTCATATTGCTGGCCTCCATTTGGGAAGTTGCCTGTAATCATGGATCTTTTGGTGCCCTGGATAGTTCATTGTGCATGTAGAGTACTTGAAATTGAGTTTATTTTATTTGTCCATTAGGAAGACCAAGAAGGGGGAAAAAACTCGAGCCGAAAGCAGGACATATGCTCAATGATTGAATTTGCTTTCTTTCACTTCTCTCAGCGTCTCTTTGAATTAAGTTCAGTCAGTCCTAGCACGTTACTAAAATGCATTGAGTGCAAATCTTTTAACTGTTAATTTCTGTCCAGTTTTTGGTCAAGACCAGAGTTTCAAGTGATGTATGACTGATAAGGATTAAATAATTATTACTGTTCGATCTTTTGGTCTGAAAAGGCGGGTGCTCTGGGGTAGCAAAATTTATTATGGTTCTCTCTAATTAACGAGTTATAAGTTTTCTAGAATATATGATGGAGACTGATAGCAATGTTCTGTAAAATCAAATTGATGACAGGTCCTCAAAAAATATTTTCTTTTAAAAATGAGTTACAAAAGTTTATTCTCACACTTGCATGCATGAATTAAAATTGCATCTAAAATTTTAATATTCTATTCATAATTAAAATTTTAAATTTTTTATTATTTAAATTGATATTTACAACTTATTTTTAAAAAGTTTATTTGAAAATCTAACCATTACTTATACTTATTATAAAACCTAACTATCATTCTTCCTATATAATAGCGGGCTTTATACGCAAGAGTCTTTGTACTTTTTTATTTAGGCAACAAAGAGCTTTCAATATTTTTTATTATTTGAGGCTTCATTTTCAACCCTTAAATTTAGGTATAATTTTAATTTTCCGGAGGCAATAATTCGTCGTATAGAAATTTAAAATTAATTTTACATGCGCGAGTATACAAGCGTGTGATAGAAAAAACCTATCACAGAGGCTTAGAGCATATCCCTCTACACTAAATCAGAAAAGAAAGACCTATCACAAACACACTATCAATCAATTACCTAGCAATAGCATTGGTTATTTCCTCTAAGAAAAATTCCTCAGAAAATGTACATCAATCAGGAGGGCAATGACGGCCTAATAATCAGTCTCTTGGGACTAAAACAGTTTCTTGCCTCATTTTCTCCCACCATCACCCTTGCGACGCCACTCGTTCTCCACCTCCTTCAAAACGTCCAAGACACCAAGAATCCCCAAAAGGACTAACCCACCTGAAAACTTGCCGCTGCCACCTCCACCGTTACCTCCGTTGCCATCATCTCTATATGGCGGCAGTCCAGGTCCGTTGTCGTCCAGCTGAGGCGTCTTTGCTTTACCTGAGATTTCACAATCATTATCTATTGTTGGAAAATATGACAACGGAAGTGTTCTAGCAGATAATGTCATGCATAATGACGGTGTAAAAAGTATCATAGAACACTTTCATTATCTCAGATTATATGTGACACTTACTCCCTGGGTCTATAAGCACTAGTTTAATATCTCCTCTCATAAAACTCAAATTTAAACAAGCAAATGTTTTTTAATTAAAACTCAATGGTTGAATAAAAGCAATCATGTTGCATAAAATGACCTTTAAACCCAGTTAAGATTTCCGTTTTATCATTCTAAAAACAAAGTAATTTTTTAGTTCAGTTATTAAAACTTCTATTTAAAATAAAAGATTCATTTAATCTTTGCACATGTTTCACCGCTCAACAATATAGAGACTTCTATTCATTCTTCAGAAGGGTTAGCGGCTTTCAAACTTCCATATAGCATATCTCGTTAAGAAACAGAGAAGTGCATCAGGAAAGGAAACCTTAATTTAAAGACAGAGAAACAAACCCATGAGACAGAAAGGAGAAGGGATCAACAGGAAAACAATGACAGGTTTGAAACTAAAACGTTAAAATGCTGGAAAGTAAGGCAGGAAGAATTGCAAGCCTAATCATGCTAACGGCACCTTAACCCATCATGCGAATGTTCTATCCTCATTACCACTTTTACCTACCAGGAAAAATGTAAAAAAATAGGCTGGAAGTAAATTACAAATTCACACGGTTAAAAGGCATTCCATTATAAATGTCCAATTCATCTCAAGGCCCAAAACTAGATACAAGTTACAAATTAGAGTTAGCCACAATGTATATCCACCAAATCAATGTTGCTTGTTATAAATTGATAACAGAGTAAGGTCATTACCAGGGGTAAGTGTAACTGTCTGAGACTCACGTGTTACAGTTTGGGTTAGTGCAGCTGCACATGTAGCATTCTACAAGAAGCATAAAAAAAGAATTGAGAAATAAACAATTACCAGAAATGACTCACTGGCCATGGTTCTATTCTTGATCGTTTATAGACAGCAGAAAATATAATAAGCGTCAAGATAAAGAATCAGCATTAGATGGTTAAAAAACACCTAAAACACCTAAAATCAAGTAGGAAAAGAACAACACAACTGACATAAAATTCACAGAATCATCAATATCATCATTGTAATTATAAGAATAAAAATTCTAATAAGCCACACCAATCATAAGCTGCAAATTTGTCAGACTCCATGCAATGCAAAGACTCAAATTTAATTTAATATAAACATTCATTAAACTTAATTTAATGCAGGACATCATTTGATGCAAAACAGCAACAATCATCATCTCTCCATGAAAGAATAATTAGCCATTATATAATAATATCATATCTTTGAATAAGTAATATCTTCTCATTCATTATAATAAAACACTTGAACTTTCTAATCAATACTTGGCCAAAGAACCTTTCAAACCGATTGATAGAAAAAAAAAAAAATCAAAATATAGTACAATGAAGAGCAAATCACTAATCAACACACAAGAAAGAAAAATGTAGCTTACCAAAGCAGCAGCACATCTGATATGACATGACAGAGTTTGAGATCTACCAATTCGAAGTTTTCCTCTTCTTATATTACATGGCAAGGCTTGCATACAAACTAGGTTAGGTCCAGTATAATCAGCTTCTTTTCATACCGACCTCTTCTTCTAACTGCATAAAAATACATAAATAAAAATGAAGACATTTTCTTAAGTGTTGAGAAGCTTGAGTTCATAGTATGTATTGAAAATGGAGATGGTGGGGGATTTTTTAATGTATTTTGTCATCAACATGTTTTTGAGTGACAACATCAACATCAACATGTCCATGGAAGTTGTATGGAGCCTCATTGTTCAAAAGTTGTCAATTATTTGGCTCATCTTGGACTTCATGGAAATACACAATGGCCGCTCTAGTTATCTTATAAAACTAGCTATCCACAATTCATGTACCTGCGGGTAATAGAGGGGACGCAGCAGTATTACTCGTTGACATCAGCGTTTTCACGATGAAAAGATGGCTACAATTAGCTGTTGAATTAATAAGACACAGAGTAAATTATCAGTTTCAAACAAAAACAAATTAACAAAGGTCTTCGTTACTAAAATGCACTGGGAATTACAGGGCATAGTCTCCTAGTTGAACAATAATAAATTAGGACCAGCCAAAGAATTCCATAGAGAGAAACCAAACCCGAGGTATTCTTTCTTTCTTTTTTATTTTGACATTCAAGCAATTTAGCCACTTCAGATGAAAATATTGCAATGGATACAGCACATGATAAGATAAGCAGAGATCTCCATAAAATTCAGGATCACCAGAAATATAAAAATGTTTTCTGAAAAGTGGGAAGGAATTTTTGAGTAACAAAGGGATTTCCATATTTAATCACAATGCAAAAGACAATTCGAGAACCACTGGTTCCGCTGAGAAAATGATGGAAACACCAAGATGACAATGCAAGATGGGAAAGCAATGCAAGTAAACAGAGACGTTAAAAATTTGGTTCAGCGATAAGAAAATTTCAATTTCTAATATACAATCAACCCCGATCAACAAAACAAGAAACGTCCATGTCTGCGGCCACCTTTTCCCAGAAGTCAAACACATAATTCCATCGCATTCAAATCAAGATACAAAGGAAGAAGAAACATAATACTTAAAGGAAACAAGAATTGCATAAAAAGGAAAACATCATATTTTAAAAAGAAGATGAAAGAAGCACAAGACAAGCATCAATTGAAAACACACCAAATCAAAATGTTATCTTCGATTTTTATTTTTTATTTTTATCTTCACGCATAAAAGTCTACCAACAAAAAAGAATATAATACAGTGCAACAAAAGGAAAGAACCTGCAAATAGTGATAATCGCCCGGACCTGACGGAGAAGATAATAACTAATAAGTGCGACTAACTCGAGAAATTCGTTTTAAAGACTAAAAAGAACCTTTTCGACAAAACTGACTTCATCTAAACGTTTTGAAGGAGAATGTCGGTTCATGCTGGGCTTTATCAAAGGTTTTCTAATCGGCTCGTCCATCTTCGTGGCCCAATATATTTTATACAGACAGGTTTTAATATGAGAATAAATTTATTATTGTCATCTTTGGCCCCAAAAAAAAAAAAATTATTGTCATAAATATGGGAAGATTATGTGGATGTCCCTGTATTTTATATTCTCAGGTAGTATTTTGTTTAAATTTTTAAATTTTAGATTCTCAGTTAAATATGAGAAGGTTTTTAATATTTTTCAATTTTTCTAACATTTTCAGTTAGTATTATCTAATATATATTTATTTAATTTAATTGATATATTTATACTTATAAATAAGATGCACACCAATTTTATTTTTTGATACAGCACATCAATTTTGTTATACATATGGAGTCTTTCATTCTCTCTTTTCAATTTTATCTCTTCTTCTTCTTCCAATCTCTACTTTCATAACAATTAAGGGTGTTTATAGGACAGGACAGGACCGGGACACCCCTGTCCCGTGTCCCATCTCAAAAAAAAATAATTGAGACTAAATTTTGATCCCATGACCCGTCTCGTCCCGAAAGTTGTCCCGTCCTGTTAAGAGTCAGGACGGGATTGGGACAAGATCGGGACGTCCTGCCGTCCCGATAAAAATGAAATAATATTGAAAAAAGATATGAATAATAACATTCATTAAAATTTTAAATTATATAATTTATTAAGTTTAAAATCAAAACAACACAAGCATATAAATAACAATAATTTAAAATCAATTATTAAACTATATTAATCACAACTACATATTATAATAACAAATACAAGTGATCTTTATGCTATAGGATTAGCAACAACTGGTAAGTCAAATACAATATTAAATCATTGTTCTTCTACTTTAGTGAAGATGTACTAAGCTAATTATTCTTCTAAAAATAAACAAGAAATATGTTATAAATAAAAGTTATTAAATAGATAGATATAAGAATAAATTATATTAATATAAGTAATATATTATTAAAAAAAATATATCGTCATGTTTACTCCATACCATTAAAATTATCAATATAAAAAAACTTTAGTTTTAAATAAGAATTGCAAGTATTAAAATTATAATAGATGTAATTAATATAAGTATAAATTATATTAATATAATTAATATATTTAAAATAAAAAATAATATATATAATATTCAGGACGGGACAGGACGAGACATCTCAATGGTAATCCCGTGCCTATCTCGTCTCAAACTCCTTTCCTGTTCCATCCCATAAAGTTTCGTTTCGATTATTTTCGAGTCGGGATAAGACCTGTCCCGATCATATCGGGACGATACTAGACTAATCGAGACGGATTCAGGTTGAACACTCCTAATAACAATTACACGCACACAATGTACATGATATTAATCGTTGAATTTTTTATGATCAATTTAAATTTGAATTCGATTACTAAACCCTATCTTTATTTGCAAATAAAACCCTATTATTCTTATTGATGATCATTATATTTCTCAATTTAATTAGTTGTCAATAAAACTGTGAACGATAAAATTATTTTTGTAATTTAACAAACCAACAGTTATTAGTTATTCTCCCCTAAATTTACGTTAATATACAATGATGGTGAAGTTTTCACATTCACATATGCAACATATTTACATGGTTTAAGTGCATTATCTTTATGAATATTAAATATCTCCTCCATTAAAAAATATAAGATATTTTTAATTGAATTTCACTCTCAATAAAATAATTATTAATTTTTAAACTAACATTATCTTTTCATATTTACTTCTATTTAATAAAATATTTCAATTTAAAATAAATAAAAAGTGATTTATTCATTAAGATTAAGAAACTATATATTAACGTTTACTTGAATGTATTCAAAGTATGAGGAACATTTACTTGGCAATTTGAACCATAAGGATAGGATTAATACCACTATAATTAAAGGACAAAGACCAGATTATAAATTGAGTTAAATTTCGAGAACTTAAAAGTTGTGTTTTTGTATTTGTATATAAATTTTTTTGGCATGAGACCTCCTAATAATGATCATGGTCAAGTCAAAATGTGACCCTTTTAATGATCATGGTTAAAAGAAAAAAAAAAAAAGAAAAAGACCTCTAAAATTGGTCGCTAAAATGGATGATAGTGTAATCGCACTATCAATAATATATAAGGAAAACAGTTTGCCTCAATATCAAGAATATATAAGATGATTGTGAAGTTAATTGCCCATTTACTTTGGGTAATAATAGCATAGCAACTTTCTCAATTCTGTAGGATTGGAGGGAATAATATAAAAAAAATTTAATCCTAATGCAAAGTCAAAGTTTAGAACAAATTTTCTTCTATATTATATGAAGTATATATGAGAAAATGAGTGGCGTGTTATAGCTTACAACTTGTGCGCGCGCGTAAAGTGAGTCTTTACCATAAATAGTCCCAAATAAGTTTGGGTTGTGCCAACCCATTTTTAATTAATGCTTAAACAAATTAAACATAAAGTACATTCAAAGTTGAAAATGAAATATGGAAACATTTATACATGAAAACATGGATTTTTTTTAAATTCAAAGATAAATTAATGATTTTGACCAGAAAGAATTTCAAGCGTATGCCAATGATATCAAATCAAACCTAAAAGTATATTTTCAATCGCAACGAATTGATATGGTTCGTTTAATTTTCTTCATCAAGAACAATATTCAAGTCTTGCAAAAATATGAAAGCAAGACTTGTGCGGTGCTTGTAAAGGTGATGGTGATAAGACGGACGCGCTTGTTGGGAACAGAATATTGACTGTGAGGGACCAAGATGGTTTGGAAATGTTTGATAGACAAATGATCATTAGGTTGAATGAAATTGGAGTTGGCCTCGCTTCCCTCCACTATATAAATAATCTAGATTATTAGCTTGGATTTGATAGTTTTAAAAGTATAAATTTATTTATATAATTAAAATTTAATCTAAACAATTTAGATTTACAATAAAGTACAATAAAGAAAAAAAACTAAGGCACCATTTGATTTATCTACTTTTCATATTCTAAAAGTGTTATTTTACTTTTGAAATGTGAAAAGTTATTTGATATTATTTTATCAGATCAAATGTGTTTTTAAAAAGAATTTTTTAACTGTGTTCAAACGTGAAAAATTGATAACTGCATTTTGTAACTTTTGAAAAGTTAATTTAAAAAGTGAGATATTATTTGACTATATTATTTTAAGTTTAATCTTTTATTTTTATTTAAAAAATAATTAATTTATTAAAAATATAATTATTATTTAAATAATGATAATTACTTTAAATATTAAATTTTTAGCATTATAAATTATAAATTAAATAATTAATTATGTTAATTTTTTGCATTAATGTATAATAAAAATTACAAGTCTTTATCACATTTTTTAAAATTAAAAATTAAAAAAGTACAAATAACTAGAGATTAATTTTTTAGCATTACAGATCAAATTTTATATTCTTTAAAATCTTTATCATATTTTTTAAATATTTTAAATATATTACATTTATATAATAAAAATTATAAATAATCATAAATTAATGTTCTTTTTAATAATTATATATTTAAAAGTATATTTTATTATCATAATTTAAATAACTTTTAGTGTACTAACTAACTTTTAAAAAAATATATTCAAACACAAATTTTATTACAATAATTAATGTTTATTAAATTAATTTTTATTAAATAAACTTTCATCAAATAAATTTTTAATAAACTGAAAACCAAACACATATTAAATTTAAACCTAGATGGAACCTGGCAATTATTGGTTGACGGAGGATGCTTTGGTTGACTTGTTTGCTCTATTAAGTGATCAATCGATTTTTCCAAGGGTTTGCTTTTATGGAAGCAAGAATAATGTTGATCATGAGAGCCAACAAGAGGGTATGTGTACTGTAAATGTTGACGCATGTGACTTAACAACATTAATTGGCCTTCATTACAATTCACAAGTCTTTCTTCTTGCATTTGTCTTCCTCTTCAACATGCATGTGACGCCCCTTCTCTAATGCTGTATCTTTATCCTTAATTTTTCTTTTTTTTTTTCCAATTAACAATAGACATATTTCTGTTGTGAATTAGGAAAGAAGATAGTGAATGGGGTTGTACAAGTGACTCGATAGCTTGGTATGCCTAGCTCTACTTGAGCTATTCGGGTTTGACGGGTCAAGATTGAGGCCGACTTGGGCACTACCTTGGCATGAATAAATTTATTTTTTAATTTTAATTTTTTAGTAAAAAATGTTTTATAATATCATACTTCTTAATTTATTTCATGTAACATCTTGTTTTTATGATTATCATTAATATTTTTTTATGATTTTACTTTTTTTTAACCATTTTCAAAATTTTAAAGTACTTTTTTAACTTCATATAAAAAGCAATGAATAATTTTAAAAACTATCACTTTGCATCCTAATGTTAGTTTTATATAAGATAAATCTTAAATGAGGATAATTATATTTTTTTATGGTTAAAGAATTTTTTTTTTCATTTTTTTAGCTTTTTTCTTAATTTTTTTTAACTTGGACCAAACCCAACTTAAACTACAAAACAAGCTAAAATAATTATGAATCTATATAATTTTTATTGAATTGAAGTGACTTAACCGGGCATAAATTAATCCATAACACTTGTGGGACTCTTTAAAATAGCAAGCTCTTGTGCAAGGTATTTAATATGGCAGTATTA